TATATATATATATATATATATGATGACACATGACCCCCTATATATATATGATGACACACGACCCCCTATATATCTATATATGATGACACACGACCCCCTATATATATATATGATGACACATAACCCCCTATATAAATATGATGACATACTACATCAGTGCCGTAGATAAAGTTTAGAGTGATTGTACAGTCGATGAGGTTGAGCACGGTCAGGTCAATGGTGAGTGTATGCTCAGGGTTAGTGGCACGGAACACAATACTGCAGGGATTGGGTACCACTGTGTTGGTCAAAATGCCTCCATTTACAACGACTGGAGCCCCTTCAGGAACATCCAGGAATCCAGCATAGTCACACTTCTCCATGTTATCTGTAAACAACAAACACACTAAGTAGTATTTTACTCAATGTATACACATATAGCATAAATGTTTATGAAAGGTTGCCATGGTGATACAAGTTACTATATGTATTGATGATGTTTACCAGTGGTAGTCAGTCATTGGGATACTTTTATTACAATGTATTTCAGTAACATATTATTGGTTTCTTGTAACCTGTCCTGAAATTATTTGCACCAAAATACAGACCCTTAATGCTTTGTTTTAGACTTTTTGCAAGGCATGCAAGGTTAAACAGAGCTGTTGCCAGAATGGAACATTCCCCCCCCCCCTCCCCCTCCCCTAAGGAAATATATCTTTACACACAGTGCATTTGTGAAAGTTCAGATGTCAAATGAACACATGCATGTGTGGTATTGAAATTGCCTATGTATGAAATTGGGGTAAATAACGAAACTAAAGCTTGACAAGAAACGTCTTTATACATTAGAATGTACTTACAAGTATTGGCGCTGGTGCCCTCCATCAGCAGGAGGGCACAAGCGCACAGCAGGACTTTATCCCACACCATGTCCACTATAACTGTCAGGTGATATTAGGTATCAGCATGCTGCTACAGGTAGATCTCAACAGTCGAAACAATCCTACACAATGGCGAACTCTTACTGAAATAAAACATTTTTATTCAATATACCACTAGAGAAAATAACAAAAATGCTTCTGATCTTTATTTAGATCAAACGGTGGGTAATGAGATCCCAGAGGAATCTTAGTTCCCACCATTTATAAGATCTCCATTGAATTGGCCCTATATTATACATATGAAACTTCAACCTTTTTTTATCCTTTTCTTTTTAAATTTCTAATCAGTCTCAAAAATAAGAATGCACAAATAAGGACCAAGGAAACTTTCAAATGAAATGCTAAAGATCCGATCTGGATCATCACGTTTGATGGACAGACGAGGGACCACAGACAAAGGCTAATTATAACTTAAACATGTAACCACCATCTGACGATGTGGACTACAAGATGCAAGTCAGAAAGACATTAAATATAAACAGTATAGATATGTAGTATATTTATAAATAATTATTTCTAGCAGGAGTTTGATGCTTAATTGTTATCTATAATATCCCCATATTTCATATTGTATTTAAACGATTCTGTAACATACATGTACACTAATTATGTATAACTTCACAAATGATGATAATTGTGTATTAACATATACATGTATATCATGGTGATTTATAACAGAGTGACTGCCATATGGAGATTAGCGTAGGTTAAATACATGTAGTACATGTATAACCCTCAGAAGTATTCTTATATCACATGTACAGCATCATGAGGATTTGTCAAGTGGTATTAATTGTGGACAAAAGGTAACTTTGTTCACAGTTAATACCACTGAACACATAATTATTTAAGATGACATTTTAAATGAAAAATGAAAATACTGTGGCAAACCCCTTAACCACGGAAAAGTCTGGTTTTCTTTTAGATGCAAGCGTATAGGTATACCTGATGCCTTCAGATCTAGAGTACCAAATTTTGTCTTAAAGATATAACACATGTACATGTACTTACTGATTGAGCATTAAAGTTTGTTGTAAATCTTACATAAATGCCATATCTAAGGATTTGAGCGGGAGACTCACGAAAATTACTTCAGAAAAAATCCCCACCGCGTGAGACACATTTCTCATGAATTTCAATCAGTCTCATGAAAAGAAACAAAGTTTGGTCAATATTGGTGAATAAACAATAGCTGTATGGATTTACACTGATCTTGGTCACTGAGAGGGCTAAATTACCCGCCTGCAGCCACTTAAATAACAGGCAGGTCATATCAAAATAATGCAAGTTAGTAGGTATTGGTTTAAAAAAAAAAATCAACAAATGAATATTAAATGTTTCCAATGTTTTGCGATATATTTTCTCCTAACATGGGTTAACAAGGACATCCCTCTAGAATTTTTACTTCTTTTAATTATTCGTATTTTTTTGCCTTTGATGGAAGTATTGTGATATATTTACATGTACTTTTAAATGTCACGTGTACACCTCCCTAAAATCCTTTAAAATATCAATAAACCTTCAATTTTTGTTCTAACAAAGTAATTGGAGGCTTCAGAATAACACAAATGAGGTAAAACTTTGTCATATGCAGAATAATATCTCACTAATTCAGAGAAAAAATCTTACTATTTTTGACCAAATCTCACTAAAAAAAATCACTGATCTTATTGTTTTGCACCGGAAAGTTATGGCATGTTTGATTTTACTGTGTAGACAAGATTCAAATTACATGCATTTCACAACTTATATACATAATTTGTACATCATGTGTACATGTATGATCGCCCGAAACATTGTCTGGTATTTTCTTAGAATTTTAGTAGGTTTATTCACAAATTTAGTCTTCTTAGTCTTCCATATCATTAAAATCAATTTAAAAAAGTGTTTGTGTTGTTTTTAAGTGAGTATGACAAACGGCAGCTGACTCCGCACTCACACAGTTGCATATTTTTCACCAATGAAGGAAGTTATCAATAAATTTAGTTGTTATATTTAAATAGTAATTATTATATTAGCGTATAAATTTCAAAAATAAAAATAAGGGCGAAACAACCTTGGGGGAACAGGATTAAGGGCGAAACAACCCTTAGCGCGTACAGGATTTAGGGCGAAACAACCCTTTGCGCTAACGGGATTTAGGGTGAAACAACCTGTTACCATGTGTATATATGTACATTTAGATCATACATTGAAGGATTGACCTGCATTTTGACGGCAAATACAATGGTACACAATGTATGAACGCAGTTGGCAATGAAAATATGCATATTTGAAATGTGTGTAACGTTATACGTGTAGAGAGTGTGTGGTACTCCTGGGGTGGACTGGGGGGTAAGTCGATCTGCAGTCCTAGTTCTGAAGGGAGGGGTACCGGCCAATACAGACACTTAGGGGATACACAACCAAATTATATAAGTGTACATTAATGTATATATATATATATGTTTGAAGTGGACAAATTACGCTTCCTTATTAGGGCAACCATATGTATATAGTCACACGTACCCATGTTTATAAAAGTATTTATGCCCGAAATTATGATCGGACATGTACATAAAATGTTCAACTGATGAGACATGATGAGTCGTGCGAAATGTACAGAATATATCGTATTTATATACCCGATACCTAAGTAGCTCTACAGGTATTTCGCAGGTATATACAAAGAAATTAAACACGTAGCTCAAAAGATTTTGCTTAGAATAAAATATTGCAAATAACTATTTGAATAAACCCCATTTAAGACTTCCGGTTGTTTATAAATTGAAATAAACGGATCAGATCGTTTACTTTGGTTTATCCTAAAGTAAAATTTCAGGTAGCTCAAAGTATTACGAATATATTAACGTAATAACAAATATCCTAAAATGTTCTTGTAGCTCTGTTATCATAATCATGAAAGATTATATAATAGGCAGTTTTCTACATTACCTTACCTGTCTTATTGTTGTTTGGTCAACGACGCCATTTTGGATTCAGGTTTTTTGTGTCATCTTACCTGAGGCAGAAGGTAAAACTAGTCGATAGCACAGGTAAATATTGTTTTTGAAATGTTATATGATATAAAAAGACACCGAAGTCAATATTGGGGAAAACAATACATTAAAATAATAATAAAATAATATATGTTTTAAATAAATCGTTTAATATCTGGATCCTATACTTTGAACCATAGCTCCATGTATCGGTTACTTGTGTCTCAAAACACTTGAAGGTAGCTAGAGTTCCGTTTGGCCCCGACACCAGGCTTAGACAATTTGATAGATATAATGCCTTTCCTGGGGCTCTGACACCAAAGGAAACTTGCATTGACTAGAAAATTGGTCACCTTGTGTGCAATGGTAGAAACCACTAATAACGTTAACCACAAAAAGGACAATATTGTTGTCATATACCAGATTAACCCCGGCCTTGTAGGCTTAATTTTAATATAACCAGAGACGTCTCTGATATAACTATCTTCTTTTTAGCTGTTGCTATTTCATGAATGAGAAGATCCCGCAGGGATCTTGGCGCCCTCCATAGTACTATCTTCACTACAGTTCTTGATCTATGTCAGTTTGATCTTTTCACTCCTTTTCTCTTATCTGTTTGATCAGCTTGCCTATCCGCCATCTTAATCAATCTTGATCAACCTCAAAAGTTAACATGCAAAACTCAGGACCAAGGGTTATCTACATATCAAATTACTGAAAAAATCCTCATCTTACAAAATGAACCTGAGGCAGAAGGTAAAACTAGTCGATAGCACAGGTAAATATTGTTTTTGAAATGTAGTAAATTCTGAGAAAGAGCGATAACAAATTTAAACTGAAACAAGATGGCTGGCCGATATGATTTGATATGCATAACTTCGATCAGAACAATTAAGAGGAACCTTCATGTGAAATTTGAGAAAGATCCCTCCAATACCTTTTTGGGTAATAGGGCTAAAACAAAAATCACTCCCAAATTCAATACAACCACATGCCATCATGATGCCGGCCATCTTGGTTATCGAATCATCCCCAAAATTCACAATGCGGAACTAGGAACCATTGGGAACCTTCATGTGGAATTTCAGAAAGACACCTCCTGAACATTGTGAGAAATAACGCTAACAAACTTTCAATCTCAAATGCAAGATGGCTGTCTGTCGGCCATTTTGATTTTGTGATCTGTCCCAAAAACCGAAATGCATCACTAGGGATCATAGGGAACCTTCATGTGAAATTTGAGATTCTTCCAATTAGTTCTGGGAAATAGCACTAACAAACTTTCATTCTTAAATTCAAGCTGGCTTCCTGTCAGCCATCTTAGTTTGGTGATCAGTCAAAAAAATCCACAATATATACATAGCTAGGGACCATTGGGAACCTTTATGCTTAATTGGAGAAATATCCAACCAATACTTTTTGAGAAATAGCACAAACAAAGATCAGCAGGACACACAAGATTGTCAAGTCACAGGATCAACAGGTCACACAAGATTGTAAAGCCAATAAAAAGGTCACACAAGATTGTAAAGTCAGGAGATCAGCAGGTCACACAACATATTAAGTCAATAGATAAACAGGTCACACGTACAAGATTGAAAAGTCAGGAGATAAACAGGCCACACAAGATTATAAAGTCAGGGGATCAACAGGTCACAAAAAATTACAAGGTCATGAAATCAACAGTTCACACAAGATTATAAAGTTGGGAGATAAACAGGTCTCCCAAGATTATAAAGTCAGGAGATCAATAGGTTACACAAGATATTAAGTCAATAGATCAACAGGTCACACAAGATTGTAAAGTCAGGAGATCAGCAGGTCACACACAATTATAAAGTCCGGAGATCAGCAGGTCACACAAGATTATAAAGTCAGGAGATCAGCAGGTCACACAAGATTGTTAAGTCACTAGATCAACAGTTCACACAAGATTATAAAGTTGGGAGATAAACAGGTCTCCCAAGATTATAAAGTCAGGAGATCAATAGGTCACACAAGATTATAAAGCCAATAGATAAACAGGTCAAACAAGATTGTCAAGTAAGAAGATCAGCAGGTCACACAAGATATTATGTCAACAGATAAACAGGTCACACAAGATTGAAAAGTCAGGAGATAAACAGGCCACACAAGATTGTAAAGCCAATAGATAAACAGGTCACACAAGATTGTAAAGTCAGGAGATCAGCAGGTCACACAAGATATTAAGTCAAAAGATAAACGGGTCACACAAGATTGAAAAGTCAGGAGATCAGCAGGTCACACAAGATTGTAAAGTCAGGAGATCAACAGGTCACACAAGATTGTAAAATCGGGAGATAAACAGATCACACAAGATTGTAAAGTCAGGAGATCAACAGGTCACACAAGATTGTAAAGTCAGGAGACCAGCAGGTCACACAAGATATTATGTCAACAGATAAACAGGTCACACAAAATTACAAAGTCAGGAGATCAGCAGGGCACACAAGATATTAAGTCAATAGATCAACAGATCACACAAGGTTGTAAAGTCAGGAGATCAGCAGGTCACACAAGATATTAAGTCAATAGATCAACAGATCACACAAGATTGTAAAGTCAGGAGATCAACAGGTCACACAAGATTATACAGTCAGGAGATCAACAGGTCGCACAAGATTGTAAAGTCAGGAGATCAATGGGTCACACAAGATTGTAAAGTCATGAGATCAACAAGTCACACAAGATTGTAAAGTCAGGAGACCAACAGGTCACACAAGATTGTAAAGTCAGGAGATCAGAAGGTCACACAAGATATTAAGTCAATAGATCAACAGATCACACAAGGTTGTAAAGTCAGGAGATCAACAGGTCACACAAGATTATAAAGTCATGAGATCAACAGGTCACACAAGATTGTAAAGCCAATAGATAAACAGGTCACACAAGATTGTAAAGTAAGGAGATCAGCAGGTCACACAACATATTAAGTCAATAGATTAAACAGGTCACACAAGATTGAAAAGTCGGGAGATAAACAGGCCACACAAAATTACAAAGTCATGAAATCAACAGTTCACACAAGATTATAAAGTTGGGAGATAAACAGGTCTCCCAAGATTATAAAGTCAGGAGATCAATAGGTCACACAAGATTATAAAGTCATGAGATCAACAGGTCACAAAAGGTCATAAAGTCATGAGATCAGCAGTTCACACAAGATTGTAAAGTCATGAGATCAACAGGTAACAAGATTATACAGTCAGGAGATCAACAGGTCACACAAGATTGCAAAGTCAGGAGATCAACAGGTCGCACAAGATTGTAAAGTCAGGAGATAAACAGGCCACACAAGATTATAAAGTCAGGGGATCAACAGGTCACACAAAATTACAAAGTCATGAAATCAACAGTTCACACAAGATTATAAAGTTGGGAGATAAACAGGTCTCCCAAGATTATTAAGTCAGGAGATCAATAGGTCACACAAGATTATAAAGTCATGAGATCAACAGGTCACAAAAGGTCATAAAGTCATGAGATCAACAGATCACACACAAGATCATCAGGTCACACACCAGAAGTTGGAATATGTTTATTGTTTTCGGATTAGAAATTGATTGAGTACACTACACTTAGGTTAACTAAACAAAATACAAAGAAACTTTGATTTTAAAGCATCAGTTTTAATATTTAACAATACTGAATAAT